GGAAGGACGGAGCAATAGGCTTGAAGGAAGAGGGAGGATGTAAGATGAGAAAGCGGAGCAAGGATCTAGAAGGTTCGGAGAGGCAGGAGAAAGAGAGGAGGAGGAGGAAGAGGGGGGAGGTAACTCAGTTGGTCGACTCGGGAAGGTTTCCATACATGTAAGGGGTGTGTGGGGGAAGTGGGAGTCTCATGGGGGAGGAAGTCTTTAGGAGAAAGTCTAGTTTCGCACGGAGCAGGGACAGGACACCTCGCCACACACACGCAGACAGGCAGACAGACAGAGACAGACAGACAGACAGAGGCAGACAGACAGACAGACATATAGACAGACAGGCAGAACACACACAGTCAGAGACAGAGACAGAGACAGAGACAGAGACAGAGACAGAGACAGACAGGCAGGCAGACAGACAGACAGGCACACACACAAAGCACAACACACACACACACAACACACAACACAGAACACACACACACACAAAACACACACACACACCACACACAAAACAGACAGACAGAGACAGGCAGACAGACAGACAGACAGACAGAGACAGACAGACAGACAGAGGCAGACAGACAGACAGACAGACGGACAGGAACAGACAGGAACAGACAGACAGACGGACGGACGGACAGACAGACAGACAGACACACACACACACAAAGCACACTCACACACAACACACAACACACAAAACACACACACACACACACGCACCTACCACACAAAACACCACGCACAATTGCACGTGCAGCTTGCCGTGTCCGCTTCTCCGCCCCCGATGCTCCTCACCATCCTGCTCCGCGGCCTCCTCGTCCTCATCCTCCCAATCCCCCGCCTCCGCCCGCTTCGGCCCCCCCCATCGCCTCCTCTTCCCCACCAGTGTCCTCCCGCAGCAGCAGAAGCAGCTGTTTGTGCTCAAGCCGCTTGCGCCCCAGCCTGCCGTATCAGCGAGCAGTCGCCATGGCGCTCAAGTCGAAGACGCTCCCGGTGCTCGTCCTGGCCGCGCTGTGCCTCTTCGCCCTGCGCGGGCTCGCGTTCGTGGCGCCCTCTGGCGGCATGGCGGCGCGCGCCGGCCCGGGCGCCTTCGCCGCGGGCGCCGCCCCGACGGTCGCGAGCAGCTCGGAGGGCGGCCTGGTGGCGATGCAGGCCCGGGGCGGCGCGGAGGGGCTGGAGGTGGAGGACCCGCAGCTGTACATCGTCGTGATGTGCGTGCTCTTCGGTGCCTCCGTCCTGGCCAACTCCAACGGCTTCTTCGGCCCCTGGTGAGCACGCGCCGGGAGGGGCATGCCGGCGGCGGACAGATTTAGTTTTCCCTCTCCTGGCATTTGCCTGGAGGGGCGCGCCCCAGCTGTAAAGATTGGGAGGCTCCCGCTCTCGCGCATTTAGGTCTGAATTTATCAGGAGCTATCAAGTCGAAGGGGCTCCGATCTCACGACGGCTTCGGGCTCACACTTCCTGCTCCGTCGGAGCCAAGGAGATTCGAGGATGAAGAGGGGGGAGGCAGGGAGCAGGAAGGAGGATGAGGAAGGATGAGGAACGGATAAGACGTCGAAGGGGAGGATGACGACGAGGGAGGAACACGACGAATCTGAGGACGGGATGCGTTCAAGAGACGGGATGAGATGATGATGATGATGAGGATGATGATGATGATGATGATGATGATGATGATGATGATGATGATGATGATGATGATGATGTGATGATGATGCTGATGCTGATGCTGATGCTGATGCTGATGCTGAGCTGATGCTGTTGATGCTGCTGTGATGATGATGATGATGATGATGACGATGATCTGATGCTGATGCTGATGCTGATGCTGATGCTGATGCTGATGCTGATGCTGATGCTGATGACGATGATGGTGGTTGTGATGGTGATGATGATGATGCTGATGATGATGGTGCTGATGATGGTGATGATGATGATGCTGATGATGATGCTGAACATGGCGATGATGGTGACGATGATCATGACGATGGTGCTACTGATGTTGCTGTTGTTGATGATGCTGATGGTGGTGATGGCTGTGGTGGTATGGTGATGATGATGGCGATGTGATGATGATGATGATGATGATGATGATGATGATGATGATGATGATGATGATGATGATGGTGATGGTGATGGTGATGGTGATGATGATGGTGATGATGGTGATGATGGTGGACAGGATTATGCTGATGATGCTGCTGGTGATGATGATGCTGATGATGATGACGATGGTGGTGATGAAGATGATGAAGAAGAAACTTACGATGATGATGTATCGGGAGGGGAGGGGAGGGAGGGGAGATAGTGAGGATGATGATGAAGAGTAAGTATCATAATATGGAGAAGAGGAGGAAGATGAGGAGGAGGTGGAGGAGGAAGAGGGAAGATACGCGAAGAGGATGAGGAGGATGGAGGAATAGCCAGAAGTTGGAGGAAGGATGGAAGAGGATACCGATAAGGAAATGTCCAACAGCTTTGGGGAGACAGGAGGGGGAGAGGA